ACTTTTTTGGAGGTGGTAATATACTGAGGTTAAGTTTATTGCGCAATTGGTGATGCAAAAGATTCTCATTAATTGGAACTTCCGCGGGTAACGTAAAACGTGGGGGCTTAGGTGGCAACTTCAGTCGGAGTCCCCACATGTTAGTGGGTTTTTTACCCTGGAATTCAAACCTACTATAAAGTGAAAAAAATATACATAATATAATTTTAGTTTTTATTGTAATCTTTGAAAACTAAAAAATACTATGGCATAGTATGTTAATTGATAATTCAAATTATATACTAACTGATTGGTATCTTTGAGCAGGGAATTGACAACATAAACTTTCCTGTCATCAACAGGAACATTAAGAATCTGTAAACAAAATACAAAATTAGCATATTTTTCAAAAGTATTTTAACGCAACTATAAAATCACTAGCGCCAATCACGTCTATCACTATAAAATATCAGTTAGATGGGAAGGGGAGGTTATGTTGAACACATCAAATGATTAAGGATGCTTCATCCATTATAAATTATCAAAGTATTGAATAATATTATAACATATTTGAAAATAATTATCAAGAACAATTTGCATATGCAGACCCTCATATGAGTAATCTAAAGAGGGTAGTGTTCCCCCCCCCCATAAGTAAAAATTTAATTTATGTTTTAAGGACACATTTACTATGAAAAATAAAACATACTTTAGGAGGTAGATACATTGAAGTCCAATGATTATCTAAATATGGAAGTATATTTATATCCACATCATAATATTTTTGTGGTTTATAAGCAGTCATATTAAAAAGGGCAAGATGAACTAAATCAGACCATTCCATTTCAATACGACGTACAAATTCTGTACCTTCATTGCACACCGAACACAAAAAGACATAGAACCTGGAACAAAAATATTTAAAGTGAATTACAAACGTCAAACATATAATGAGATGGTATGAATTGTTTAGATAAAAACATGTAATTAATATAATAGTTTAAATAAACCTWAAAATGAGATAACCAACTTATACTTAGTAAATAAAAATGAAGGTAACTAAAATTTAAAATATTTAACTATTGTCTATTTATGACTATAAATAATATTTTTATTAAAAAAAAATTAATATTAACTATCTAATGGGACTTAACACATTACTTAAAGAAAGTTTATTCAAGTATACAATTTGTATTTTATTAGCAACTAGTTAAGTAACAAAACATTAATTAAATATAAAAGTAATTATTAGTTTTTAAATTTCAAATTTTCTATAAGTATACTTAAGCGTATTTCTAAATAATAAATAATTTCATTCTAATAGATAATTTTAGCTTACCTATCGCCGAGATACAGAGGATACACCAATGAAGAGACACATTTTTCATGAAACCATTGTAAACATTTACCACATTGTAGCATATTGATGAACCAGTCACCAGGTCCTCCACAATAACAATAGGTTCCTAAATTGTTAATTCGATGATGTATATCCCATTGTAAAGCATTCAACTAAAAACAATAATTAATTTAAATAAAACATAAAATTGATTCTAAGACTTGTATGTACAGTTTTTAATACATGATACTATCTTTTTCCTGCTATAAATGTGCTTCAAGTATTTTAATATTTTCAATAGCAATTTTCATCAATGTATAGTAAATGTAGTTCAGAAAATAAGGCTTATGATTAAAACATATTATAATATATTATAAATATATATTCTTTTAATTTCATACTATAACAATATGTCAACATCAGGTCATCTGGTTTAAACTTAATAATAAAATAAAGCTCCAATTAATTGGCTGATCATATACACATAAATATTAAGAGGACGCTACACTTGCATGTGTTGTCTCCGTCTTACATGCGTACTACATAGCAATTTCTTGTTCGCTAGATTCAATAGTGTGCTGTTAGTTTTGATATTAGAGTGAATTGATCTATTATCAAACTTTTGGGTAGGAACATTATCTGTGTTCTCATGTTGATTTTTTACGATATTTTAATTTTTAAATGAGTTATGAGCATGCTAAGTGTGAATATTTGAAAATTCACATAACTCATTTAAAAATTAAAATATCGTAAAAAACCAACATGAGAACACAGATAATGTTCCAACCAAAAAGTTTGATAATGGGTCAATTCACTCTAATATCAAAACTAACAGCACAATATTTAATCTAGGGAAAGAAAATTTGCTATGTAGTACGCGTGTAAGACGGAGACGACATATGCGAGTGTAGCGTCCTCTTAACAAAAATATTAATGCCATATAGAATGTACTATGTTAATATAACTAGGTTGCGTTTTTAGCTTAGTATTGAGTATTTTGAGATAAATATTTCATTATTATGCAATAATTTTGTAACAGTGATACGTGCAACCAATTGTTGGATACCTTAAGTTGTTGATCATGTTGTTTCAGGAGTTTTAACATTTTGTTTTGTGTATACATAGAATAGATAGTAAATTAAATTGCCTAAAGTAAAAATCCCATGTAATGATTACGAGGAAATGTGAGGGAATATGTTAATGACATCTTTTTCACTTATTTATTTTTATACTTATAGTTTCAATAAAATTACGTGTTAAACAAAAATTTTAATATTTATTTATTTATTTATTTCATCAATAAATAATTTTTGTTATTTGAAAATGAAAAATAAAATTATAGGTTAGATATTCCAAAGTATATTTTGTTTGGGTATTTTTGGAGTTTATGTAAATGTATATTCTTTAAGGAAATTTAAATCTAAACACCACTGATTATTGATAAAAATTAAGAATCCTAATAATACATAAAACATACATCATAAGGTAGTTTAACAACTTTTGGAACAATTGAGCTTGATACAGAATTTGTAACTTGCAGTCTATTAATCTGTTGTTTTTCTTTGCATTGGAAACATATCCACACAGTAATATCTGTAATTTCAACTTCCGGCTGAAAAAAACAGAACCATTATTAATCAAACTTTAGATAGATATGAAGAAGTGTATTAATTTAATATAAATCAAAAATGGAGCAATAGCCAATTTACATTATCAATATTATTGAAAACAAGTAATAAGAATTGATGTCACTCTGACAAAGAGCAATAAATTACAATATAATATAATACATACTGTGTTATTATTTCATGTTATTAGATACATTATAGGGGATTTAATTTTTATTTAATAAAAGCATGATATAGGATTTTAGTCGTGATCATTTCCCAGAACTATCAATTGATCTAATGAAACGATAAGAATTCTAAAAATTATTTGAATTTATCCTCAAGAATACTTGAAATTTAATTTTCCCACATTTTTGAATTTTTGATTTTAACTTTTACATAAATTGAAATATGACASTATGTTGATTACTATTTTTCAATTTAACGTTTTTAGGAACTAGGGAATAATATCAAAAATGAGGTAAAGTCAATTTCAAATAAACTTGATGACAAAACCAAATGTTTTCAGGATTCTTATTATCTTACTTCATCAATCAGATAGTTTGGGTAAAAACACATCTAAAATCCTGTCGCTCTTGTGTTCATATCACCGGATGGAATCCCTTAAACTGTATAGTATTGGAGATTCAATATAGTATAATATTAGTAAAATATATGTTGATCAAAAATATTGAAGATGTAGTAAGGTTACTTCTAGACCACTGAACAAAGTCAATGGTTCAGTTTTTTTTAAGTTTATAATACAAAAATGCTTACTTTATATTTACTGTTTAAATGGTTCTAAAAAAAAATATTTATCTATTTTAATAGTAGATAATAAAAATTATATTTACCTTGTGACATTTACGATGGTATACATTAGCACATTTATCACATACACAAATATCATTTGGCATAGCCTCGATATTGCACACATTGCAAAATTGGGTAATCGTACTCGTACATGTCATCCGAGTAACATTTTTTAAGAACACCCATTTTACTGTATTATCACCAAACTTAACTAAACATTTAGATTCTTTATACCTCAACTAAAAATTTAAAAAAAAATGTTAGTTAACGACAAGTTTATACTTAGTTGAAAAATGTTTACTTTTGCTATAAATCCTAAATAAAATCGTTCATCATTAAGATGAACCAATACTTCTTCTCCACAAATATAACTCTTGTTTTCAACAGTTGTACTATCAGGAGCAGGGGCCTCAGGGCTCTCCCTTTTTATCTAAAAAATATACAATATCAGTGGTAAAACTAAAATCAATTCCACTCAACAATAAATCCTTTTATAAATAGTGAATTTAAAAAAAGATACTTATGTGCTTATATCTAAGTATGGTTCAGAGTTAAGGAACATAACTACTCAAACAAATTGTATTGAATCAATCATGTTAAAATGTATGTATATTTACTAGTTAGGTACCTATATATATATTTAAATATATTGTATCAGTATCAGTAGAAATCTGACTTCATAAATTATCTATTGAAAAATGAAAATATATTTAAGGTTTTGTTTGATTTAGATTAGTCCAATAACTACAATTCATTCAATAGGTAACTAATAATATATATAATATCAAAAATCTATTGTATATCAGCCAAGTGGCAAGTTGTATTATCAATTTAATATGAACTAAAAATTATCATAGATGTAAGAAAATGTCGTGGGTATTGAATAATACCAACATACTAAATTTACCAATAATAAGATCTTTCATAATTTAGATTCGTTTTTAGAATACATTTTAAAAATAACTTAAACATGTTAAGATAAATCAATGAAGATTTTTAATAATTTAGTATGCTCAAGAAATATACACAATAKTTCATAGTTATAATTGATTAATTGATTACATTTATATTATTCTCAAAGACAAAAGAAAAAGAATAATTCTATATTTTAATTAAATTATATAAAATTTCTCACGGATTCCTTTTTGGTCTGCAACATTTTGTCAGCTATTCATTGTMGAATAATCCTGCAAATAATAAAATATCGTTTAAACACCATCAAACTGTATTAAAATATTAATAACCTATCAATGACAAGTTCTATCTAACTAGTCGATCGAGCAGTCTATTAGCCAGCTACAATAGATGTACAGAATATTCATACAACACGTTCTGTTCTAGACAAACCAAGTGCTAACATTTCTGTAGAGACTGTCAGACTGATTACGAAYAAAACGTAAAACACAAGACCAGTGATCTTAATAGACATGGTTGTTGTGACTCACGAGCATTTCAAATACGGAAACAAGTGTCTGTAAACACAGTCTCGATCTCTCCGGTCGTGGAATACCTACGACCACATTTTGGCTGATAGTCACACCATAGACATAATATGGTTCTATATAATATTTAGAAACATCTATATTACGTCTATGACTCGCACCCACTACCACATATACAAACACTATCACATACACACATGTAGCTTATACACATCCGATTGTTACACACACACGCATACACACATTTCCTGTCGCACACAAAACAGTTGACTAGCCGTCGTTCGTCACCGGGTGAACGATAGGGAAGACCCGTCACATATCTCCATCGCCAGCCTCTTCGGCGTTACCCTTGCGACCCGAAAGCACGGACACCGGACAAAGGCGTCCGGGCAGAGACACACGCTACACCTCGGACCAAGTCCAGGACGAGCCGCGGCGCCCAACTCACCATAAACGCAGAAGACGATGACGACGACGACAACGGCAGCAGCGATCCAATTTCTCGACTTCTCGTCAGTCTTTTGATTACATCTTCAATTGGACCGCGGCTGGGCTGGACGTCTGCGGTTGTGTTCATGGCCCCCGTCGGATCACTGAACTGCGGCCGCCCCGGGTGGCACCACTGCGCCGCCGCCGCCGCCGCCGCCACCGCCACCTGCCGACCAGTGTTATCAGTCAGCCTTGGTCGGGTGGGCCGCCTCTGAAATTTTTTCTCCTTCGCCGAATTCCCATCAGAGAATCAGAATATTCAGAATCCACGCGATTTACGATGTTTTTGCTTCTTTCCCGGTGTTTACGACACGCTAATTAATTATAACGTCTTCGCCTACCCAGTACCCACAGGCACCTACGTGGCTTGTGGCTACGTGTATTTCTGCGCGTTGTGTACTTTATGATTGTCACGATGTGTTTTGATGTTGACAAAGATTGCACACGACTGTAATTGTAGAACCATTAGATCCTATTTCAATAATAACAATACTCAATATAGATAAAACATGATAATATACTTAATTAAACATTGTTATCAACGTTGATTAAAACAAGTAGCGGCCAATAATCGAGAGTCGAGCGATAATAACAGGACTAATTAGATCCGAATAAATATTATAATAATTATTTTTACGTTAAAACCCTGAACACATGTGATTATTAAACTTATCTAAGCCTTGAAATAAAATTGTTGGTACCCAACAACACCTGTACCAGCGAAAAAAATAATTTTTTTTAAACTTACATTCCATACAGTATAGGAACAGCTGCGATAGGTAGATAGGTACCGAAGTAGCATGATCGGCAGCACAGTAAAAATTGTATAAAGAAGTCATTCCGATTCGTAAACCTCCGATCTTTCAGGACTAATTTTTTTATCATATTATACTTTTTGAATGAAAATAAATTATCTTTTTCTACTTAAATTATTATASACCATAGCCATTTATAGGGATTCGGATGTGTTTCATTTCCTAATTTCCAATGTAAATACCTGCCTACCAATTATAATCGAATGATATAAATTCTGAAAACAATTTGAATTTGTCGTAAACACTTAACTTTACTATTGAGATCAAACTTTTCATATTTATTTTTTATATATATATGTTACGGGCAATGTATAGAATGCCCAATGTAGACGGTCAATGTAAAAATCACCACACTTCGCCCGAGCATTCTATAACCTTAATCTAACAAGCAAACAAGCAATATGAAATATGCAATATTTTGTGTTTTATTTAAAGATAACTAAAAACTAGAAAAACAAAATCATTATATAAATAAAAAATATAATTATTGATTAAACATTTTAAAAAAAGAAAGATTTTATATTTTATCATTATTTGTGCCCCGTCGTCAACTTTAATGAAAGACTACTTTTGTACATATTGTAAATTAGTTGCAGCTATATAAATTGAGAAGGCGGCCTTCTGATGTTCCGATTTCATACATTTTATTTTTGACTATTGAAATAAATTCATAACAAATTAATTTTTAAAACAAGCATACTCAAATAATAATAGATGTAAGAAATACCTGATAATATAACGAAAATCACTACGTGCTTTATCGACATCTGGGATTTTAATTGCCACTCTCACCATGACTCTCAATCATTACCTTGACTAAAACGATTTTCCGAAGCCTGTTTCATTTTTGAAGCTTGAATTTCCAAGTTTTCAACGGATTTGTCTCTTTTGTATTTAATACTTTGTATTCTTGAAGATATGCCTAAAAAAATTCCAAAAATAAAATCTAATATTTTAAATGTTGTATAATCAAGCAATCAACTTAATTAAATAATATAAATTATTTTTTTATAATATTATTAATATAAAACAATAATTTAATAATTTTGTATTTTACCTTTTTCATTTTCTATTTCATTGTCACTGCAGTCATCTGAACTTTTCGATGAACACGAAGTGGCAATAGAATTAAGAGCTGTTTCGAAGTCTCCTTCACTTTTTAAACTGCAAATTATATTATCCGGTAAAATTGTACTTTTTAGTCCAATTTTAGCTGACATACCAAACATGGCTTCATAAGGTGAACATTTTATTCCCTGGTGTAATCCACGGTTCTTTATAAACTGTACAAACATTATTCCTTCCTTCCATTTTTTGGTACGGTTATATCCTGTACTCCTGTAGCCATTCTATATTTGTTATTTTAGTAAACACAAAATATGGCAATATTTTTTTAAGTTCATATATTATGCCCTTCATAAATTTGACATTCTGTATAATGCCCGAACAATATGGAAAATTCTTAAATAGTTTTCAAATTGTCCGAAAATGCGAGTCATTCCATACATGCAATAACCGGGAAATGTATATAATGCCCCGATCTACATTGACCGTAACATATATATTAGGTAARCATAAGAATAATTATGATTTTAATTTTAATTTAGCAGCCCGTTATAATTGAAATTGTATATTTATACACTTATTATACGTTATAAACTTATAAGTTATTATAATTATAACTTACTGTGTTTTACAAAAACTGATGAATATACTATTGACAGTGCTACAAAATTGCATCTAAACCAGACTTGAACGAGGTTCGTATTTGATATATCATCAGCTCGACCTGCCTGACAAGAGCTCACATAGTCACATGGCTGATAGTGTATCAGTTTTCCGAGGATAACACCCATACATCATAATATACCTAGCTAGTATCATACTCAATTATAGTGTCATCAATAAAATTCACAGGTGTCAGGTTTTTTGTAGAAATAGCCACTATTGCGTTCACAGTTATTTAGAACTTATTTATTTATTATTTACAGACTATACATATGTACATTGAATGTGTTGAAAAAAATCTAAATACTTAAAAACCTTTTAAAAATGTAAAATATAGTAACGAGTGACGAGTCGTACACAGCTTATTATTTATTAATMWTATTACTGCATATTCATCGCTTCGAATTACACATTTTTTAATAGGTTAGGAGAGGGGCAATCGCCTCTTCAGATATTTAAACGAGTAGGCAATATTGTATTTTTAACTTATGCATTTTAAACTGCACATTCGTAATTTTCAAATAAAATTAATTTTTATAAATTTATGGAATGATAGAGTCGAGTGCAATAGAAATTAGGAATAAATATTACTTTTTTTGAACACTATAGTGCAATTTGATCATTTTTCTACAGTTTAGGTAAGGAGTGCAGTTCGACAAACCTCTATTTTATACTATTTTCAGCCTGAAATATGACGATAATGTCAACATTGAACAGTAAACATGTTATTGAAGCATGAAATGTTGTTCTATGTCGCATCAACAACAATAAATAATAATAATCGTTATTGCCGTATCGAATACCTATTTTTATCAATGATATCATCGTAGCTGCTGTTCAAAATTAATTAATTAAACTAGAACATACGAGTATATAATGACTAAATAAGTATACACTAAGTATGTGTCTATATATATGTATTTTAATATATTATATATAAATACATAATTATTTTACAGAAATTGTATCGAAAAAAATGTACCTAATGGTTTAATTTCGATAGTTGATAATTTTTGTATCATAATTTAAAGTCAATAGGTACCTAGTAAAATCATCAAAATGTTAGGAACCAAATATTTAGGGTGGGGGTTAAGGTATAACACCAGCCCATGATAAAGGCAATATTTTCGGCAGAAATTAATTCAACCTATCAGTTTACATCAGTTTATTAACTTTTTATTTTACCAGTATAAATATAGGCGCAAATAGGGATGAGCTTAGGGGAATTAGCACCCCTCCCCGATTTTAAAATTAGCACTCTCAAATGATGTTCGTGTTTATGTATCAAAAACTTATAAAAAAAATTTAAAAAATGAGAAAATGCATATCTTAAGCACCCTAAGGTTTTTATTTATACAATTTACGCCTGAGAGAAGATATAAATAATATAATAACAGGATAATATACTTAGTATGGTACCAAATAGAGGCTAACAGACCATGTCCAGTCAGAATTGTTTTATACAACGATTTATCATTCAACTCAAATTTAATAAATCCATTGCGGCTAAAAAAAAGATGTACAATCGACACAGAACTACAACAGTTAACTACTTGCCACATTCTATTATTATTGTTGTTGTTGTTATTTTTTTTTTAATAATCATAATAATTATTATAAGACACTGGATGATTTTATTTTAAAAACATGTTTATATTATATATCATAGAAGAATTAATACTTTATTTATGTCGTGATACCAAATATTTTGCAAAACAAATGATAAAACGTAGGTAGCAACGCTACTTGATATTTTTCCTCTGTTAGGAAAATGTATAAATCATAAATATATTTTCGGAGAGAAGGAGGGTTACCATAGTAACAAATATACCAATGATTAATGTTATAAATGTTACGAAAATCGGTCAAAAAAAAAGTTGTAGCCAACCCAAAATCATATTTATATTTATATGTTACTACCTGACAACAATACTTATAATAACCCACGAGTACCTAATGASAAAAAGTGACCCGCCAATAAGTCAATCATGTGGCACAATAATCACAATCAAACACATTTTTGAAGAATGCAGAACATCAAACAAAGAGAGGATCTCATGTTGAGACATAAGCCATCAAATTGGAACAAGCCTAGGCCCAAATCCTGACAATGAAACCAACACCATTGAAAATTCTTCAAAACAACCAAGTTACTCAAACTACTTTAGCCAACCTTTCAATGTATAAAATACCAAACAAATTAATTCTAACTATTTCTCTTGTATTTTTTTCATTTTTTTGTTTTTTCTCTTATTTCTTTGCTCTGTTCTTTATTATAAGTATAATTAATGTATGTTTATAGTGATTTGCTAATGACCTAGTAGTCGAAGCAGAAATTGTATAAATTTCAAGACCAATAAAAAAAAAATAAAAAAATACTTATAATAAAAGTTTTTTAAATATATTATGTAATTTTTTTGTGCTAGATACAACTTTTATTTCTGGCTGATTTTGAGTGGTCTATTTCGGGTTATAGATTTACAGTACCTAGGTTTCGTCTAGTAAATGATAATTAATATTACGTAACTATAGCAACCTTTTTGATATATTTTTAAAACGTAATTTTAAAAACGTTTATGTGATATTTTAATGTTTTTTTGTGCAGCAGTGTGTATATCATGCTACCAACTCTATTAAGTAAACACTTATAATAACTTAGTTTTTTCCAATGTACCTATACAAATTAGGTATATCTATAGTATGTATAATAAATAGTTATTATATATTTTATAGTTTCATGAAGAAATATTATGGGAATGAATATCTTCATGCATAGTTTTTCAAACCAAAACCGATAAAATCACGAATAACTCGATTTAAAAAAAAAATTTTTTTCAGTAAAGGACGTTACGTGGTTGAATGTACACGAATGGATACTGTTGCTAGAACCTATAATATATGTAAGCGATACTTCAATGTCACGTGGGACGATAAGGATTCCCCTTGAGATTGCGCTGATGATATTAAAAAATAATATAAGCTGACCCCATCGAATATCACAATATTCACAATACCTATATAAGTACCCTAGATACGTCATATTTTACAGAAAAATACTTTTTGGGTACGATCTAACAGCAAAAGCCAAAAATACATAACCATTATCAGGGTAACGTACATATAACAACTAATTATTCGCAATAAATAAAACATAATATTATAATATAATATGTTGCGATTTTTAGTATTTACTATTTATACGATCCTATTGACACATTTACACATATTTTATTATAGTTTATACATTATGCTACAATTTTCTCCTGTCCTTTTTTGGAATCAACAAGTACCTAACTACATATTTATTCTATATTGTTAGGTATATCACTTGGCACTTATAAAATATATAGTTTATACACTTATATATCAAAGTACGTGACGATAGATCTTAATATTCCAAAGTATTATTCTAGGTATAACGTATCAACTCGCCGTTAAACTTAACGTGATCTGCAGTACTTCGTCGATCTATTGCCTATTAAGGATTTTTGATTGGACGACATCGATATGAATTTAGTCGACAGTAGCCCAAGGTTAAATCAATCCAGTCGCGTAGTCAAGGGGGGGGGGCACAGGGGCCATGTCCCCGCATGGACCGTATCATATAATTTCATATAATATATAAAAAATAATTGTAAATTTATTAATATTGGCTATGTATAGGTTGGGAGTGAAAATTAAAAAAAATTTAATGTTTATTGTTTTATCAAAACACCGTAGATCGATAAACGTGTCATTATCATCAATATTTGAAAAATTAAAAACACTTTTATTTGAATGTTATTTATTTAATTCCCCCCCCCCCTGTAGAAATCCTGGCTACGCCACTGATACGATCTGAATGTTTACCGATATACATTTTGAATGTTTTTCCCTTACAAATTAGTTTATTTTATTTTCTAAAAAAATCTGTTTTTAATAGAAACAACTATTCAGTATTTTGGCACTATATTGTGATTTAGTATGCTTAAATATTAAATAAGTAATAGATCATGCTAGGTACTTTAATCATCGTTTAATGTTGGTCAATTTAATGTAAATACTAAATTGTAAATAATCGTAGACAACGCAACGTAGATATTTATTGTATTATTTTACGACGTTAATAAATACATAAGTAGGTACGTTGCATGTGCATAAAAACTACGAATAATAGATTATTGGATGAATAATACTTTACATTTTATGTAAAATATGAAGTGAAATCCGTGCAATTAAAAATGTATTGAAATTTGCGAATTATATTTAATTTTGTTAATGTAAAAACAAAAATAAATGTATTCATAGATTATATAAATAAACACAAAATGAGTGAAGGCACTCCCTACGTGTACATTTGTTGATAAAAACCTTATTATTATTTATTATTGTCATTTCTAAAAGATTTGATTTTAATAAAAAAACAATGTGACAGGATTTTCAATCAGTTACTAACCCATTGTAAAAATAGTAAATTGGGAATAAAGATAAAATAATAAATAACAATTATAAAATAAATATATGCGATGTCTTAGAAAATGACTTAGCTAAATCAATATTTTAGAATCATTTTATCATTATTCAGGAGTGTTGCACTTTTCCAGTTGTTGACTTCTTCACCATAATATCTTCCTGAAGTAATCTTACTTACGTGTGTTTTTTTTTACTAAAACTATGTATTTTTATTCCACCGTATTGATCGTATTGGTCGATGTAGTAATGCGATAATACTTTTTATAACTGATTTGAATTCGTTATAATGTCTACTTGAGATCGGTTAGTTCACATTTTATGATTTCTGATTTATATTCCGAATAATCTACGTTTGAAAATGCCGAAATTTCAAAATATTCAAACCAAATTTTTAGTTGTGAGGGGGGTGAAATTGGGGAAAATAAACTGACCGATCTCAAATAGACATAATAACAAATTCAAATCAGTTTAAAACAGTATTATCGCATTACTACATCGATCAGTATGATGGAATAAAAATTGGATGTTTTGGCTAAAATAACTGTCCGCCACCGATCCCCTTAAGCTTATTGTACAAAATATGTAATTATTGTAATTATACAACTGGAATAAAATCTATAATACTTCCTATATTGAAACAGTGTATATTKAAAATAATACAATTATAAAAATGTATTGTAATATACACATCAATTAAACGATTGTAATGTTATAATAATTGTAAATTTTTATATTTTAAAGTTTTGATTTATTGAAAGTGTTAAATGTTTAAATTAATAGTTGAGATTTGAGGTTTTTTAAAAATTATTAATACAGTATTTATTCCACGATGTTTGTACTTTTTTTTATTAATAAACACAAGACGTCTAGAATACTTTTTACAAAGTATTAAATAATTATACCTTAAAACTAAGTTTAAAAAAAATAATAATAAAATTGCAATACACCTATCATATATATATATAGTAATCGAAAAATTAAAATTCAACGATAATCTGTATAAGTACCACTTTTATTCAATATCATGCATTTTTCATTTATTAGGTACCTAAATAACTCACAATATTATTATTTATTATATTCACTAACTCGCGCAGATGATCCAAATAATGCACCTCCTCGTATATCGAACTAAATGGCTTTAGACATTATTCAAAAATCAAAATGGATTCTAATTTTAACTAATTGTTCAGATATATTAAATTTTAAAACCTAAAAACTGGTCGAATTTATTAAAAGTGGTTATTATCTAGTTCATAAAAAGTTAGTATGCACCAAAAATGTCGAAACTACCTAGTAAGTAATACAATTAATTACATTAATAAGTGATTAGAAAGAATATAAGCATGTAACATTTTTATATCTGTCTGTAAACTTGAAGCGTAGTTTATTCGATGACCTTTAGTTAAAAGATTAGATGGTGTATCAATTCTACATACCAGCTGGCAGTTGTAATCCGAAAAATATTACAACATTCAATAATTCCCTTGATTCTCGACTCTCGTAGTCATTATAGAAACTAAAATTATCAACAATAAAATGGTTATTAAATTATATATGTAATACATATTAAAACTATAGTATAGATTCAGTAATGGGTCTAGAGATATAACCTCTGCATGTTTTATGCATAGTTCAGAGTTAGGATAAATCAAAATTTATCTAGCTCGGTACAGTAAGTTGTACTTGTACACAAAGTGTTATAACTTATAAAGATACACGTTTTGCACATAACTGTTGTTTGCGATTCGTAAAAATTGGTAAATAATGTAGAGGTGTCATTCGCTATTCACCATTCGTTATTCAAGGGCTAAAATGATTCGTGGTCTATCGCTAAGGTTAACCGTAAAATTAAAATATCAGCGGATAGTTGAATTCGTACTCATTCCTCATTCGTCAGGTTTTTGTGAAAATATTATAGTAGGTACTTAACTTATCAAGATTTTATCACATTTTTTTTACCATTCCAGTTATTTTACTACAAAATTTCACAAAATTTAAGCTGAAGTAAATTAATCATTACGATTGTAACTAAATTAATTTAATTAGGTAAATACCATCAGTGAACTATGGCAGCAGAGGAGTAGTATTATGCAAACAGATCCTCCTCTGCTGTCGGTTCTAACCAGGAAAAAAAAAGAAAAAAAGGTATATGATGACATATCACATGTTTAAGAAAAATTTTTTGCACTTATTCTTAATGTTTGTGTAAAAAAATACTTATAGAAATTCATTAACCGTTGAAGACTCAATAAATAATTATTAATTAATGCATATTATGTTAATATACGAAGTATACAGTTGAGTAGGTATAATAAATCGTTTGAGATATAAATTTAGGTTACACACTAATTAAAACTGATTTACATTTTATGGTTTAGTCTTAACAATTGAATAATTACAATTTATACATGCCTTAAGAGATAAGTAAAAAATATGTATTGTACGTAGATACTTTATATACGTAAATAGAAAATGATAAACATTTCTCTATTTACTTATAACTGTACCAACGTCTGGTTTACATCAATAGTAGTTTTTAACAGATTCCAAATAAGGAACTATTTTTGTACGGCCTTTAAATCTATCAATAATATGAGCTAGAGCAATAAAAGCGGCATCAACATTAACATTCAGATAAGCAGATGTTTCAACAATTGGTATAGCTTTCTTAAATTCGTTACGAGATACAAGTTTTTGAACTTCTTGAACATATGCTTCATTTAATTTATCATTTTTTGTAGTTACTAATACCACAGGTTTTGTAGTACTCTTTACATTTTTTAATATATTAGTAACAGTTTCTAATTGTTTTTCTATACTCCGACCGGGTACTACACTGACATCAAACACGCATAAAAAACCGTCAACATTGAATTTACCGGCAGGTAACACTTTTTGTTCAAATTTTTCTTCAACACCTGCAATTAATGGAATAATATGATGTTAATGTAACATTGTAAAAATACCTTTTTAAAGAAATTCGAGGATTCATAAATAAATATTATAAATATATATTATTTTGGTACCTAAAAAATAAAGTAAGATATAATAATTTAACTGTTTAAATAATATTTGTATTCAGTTCTTAAGAGTTTTGAACGTACCTAGTTGGCTTCTACTAATATACATTAATTTTTCAGCTGATTCAATTTTAGTGGCCACGCAGCGTTTGACGTATGGATCCATTTTAACTCCTTAAACAATTAGGTATATATATATAAATAAAATAATTTAAAAATACACAACTTCAAAATTTTTCTCTTCACTAAAATGTATGATGATATCAAATAAATTTAATGATAGTAATTCTGACACCTAATAATAATATTGATAGTATAACATAAAAAAATATGGCCTACAATTCTAATTAATAACAGATCAATTCAATATTTTAAAAATCTTTGAGTTATTAAAAAAGAAAAATCAAAACCCGTCGTGAAAAACCTTTTAATTATATAACATACAAAAGAGCATGAAGTGCTAACCCTATACTCTCTATTCGAATCTACTTATATACGTAAATATACACAATAGTCAATATGTGTACTACGTATATAAATATCACATATAGTACAACATATTAGTATCTATAATAGGTATAATCTATATTAGCTTACCTCATGATCAGACTTCTTGAACAATGATTTTAAACAAACTTTGAACCCCAAAGAGACATACATGTATTTAGTTTAGACTTGACATTATTATATTAATAAAAAAATGCTTCAGACTCACAGGTAGCAGGGTGGAGCGGACCACCACTGTTTATACATACAAAATATTGTATATAAATATTTAAACAAAATGGATTATTTACCATTAAATGGTTGAAATGTTGAATCATCTATAAATTCAGTTTGTTCAATTACACGAAATATGTATTCAGTACCTTCTTCAGATGTTTTCATGACTTCTCCCCAGTATAAAAAATTATCATTATTAACAACTCGGCCACTAAAATCAGACTAAGTATAAAAACAGAATTATAACTATGTTTAATATTAAATTAATAAATTATTTATTTTGTAATTCATAGGACATAGATATTATATATATAAACTATTACATTGCTTATTAAAGAATTATGATCATCTTCGAAGTCATCAGATGATGATCTCATAAATCTATTACAAAGGCATGATTTACCAATTCCCACTGCTCCTTTTTCTTTCTCTGCACCAGAAAGTCCCACAACAACAACATTAATACAACGCGGTGTATCAGTTCTCTTTACATTTTGCTTTTCCAAACGACTATAATATAAACAGGAATACGACCTTTGAATAAATTAGAATATTATAGGTTCATATTTCATAATTTTAATTATTTAATTATGTATATTRTTTTAAAATAGGTAGAAAACTAAATTGCCAACTACAAACATATGTATACTTAGATATACCGTATGTGATATATAAAAGATACCTAACTATACAAAAATGGATCATAGATGTAAATATTAGGTATAACTTAATATACAGCAATTTTCTTTTTATAGATTATAGATATTAAAGTAGAAAGTAAAAAAAAATATTTTAAATGTGTTTATACTTTTAATATATTATAGGCACCATTATTGGTACCAAGTACATATATTTTGAGATACTTAAATATTATTATATTTTATAATTAAGCTATTACTTTAATAAATAAATTTATGGAATGACCCAACATATCTCGAACATTTTTTAAAGTTATATGCTAGATAAAAAGACTTTATGTCCGCATTAAGTTGCAAAGATAGTAAAATGTACAAAACAAATTTGCATTCAGAAGAAACCATTTAGTGTTGCTGGTTTGGGTTTTACAGTAAATTAACTTAGTAAAAACTGTTAAGGTAAGAATATCTAATATCTATGTTCTCCTATCAGATTTTTTAATCATTTAATTTTAAAGCAAGTTAAAAACCTGATTCACAGCCATGCATACGGTATACAAGGCTGTAAACTTGACCTTAAAAGTTTGTAAAATATTAAAATCATAAAACGTTCATAACTCTGTTTAAAATTAAAATAAATAATGAAAAATAAAACGCGATTATAGAACATAGATAATATTCTTACCTTTAAATTTGATAACAGATCAGTTTACTATGATTTTAGTATCAACTAAAAGTAACAATACAAATGGATTCTGCTAAATGTAAATTTGCTATTTTGTATGTTTGCAAGACAAGCACAATGCACAACACATGCGGACATCACGCCCTCTTGGTGTAAGACTTGATGTAATACTGCAGATGTATCATTGTAGCATACCAAAATGTGTTGTCCTTAAAACGTTGATAACTCATAACAATTTTGTTCTATACAATCAATTCGTGAAATTTAACCAAACTATATTATAATATACTATATATTTAAAAAACCAATTATATTTTATATTTTTATGTTACATCTAGTTAAATATATGCACTTTAACGTTTTAATAATTAAATTACAAAAATTATAAACAATAATTATAATTATAAACGATAGTCAAATAAATCTAAGAAAAGTTAACAAAAATGTATTGCAACTATTACACATAATATGTTTATAATGTTAAAAATTGTGTAGTACGCATAGAACTTGGTGATAAAATGAATGATAATCGAATAAGTATAAATGTGTATTCACAATATTTATCGATTACACTGTGTACCTACCACAGATTATGAATCATAATTCATAAGTCATAGCTCATCATGACGCATCATTTTAAACATTATCATACAGTTTAAATTAGTTTTAACTTTGCATATAGGTAAATATATAAAGTTAAATATTATTATTTTTTTTTTTTTCAAGGTTTTTTGACCATCATTTGACATAATGATGCCATGCACGCAAAAATGATAAAAAAAAATAATATTTATGTATATACCTATATAATAATGCAACTCTATATTTTTATACTTAGAAATTAGTGGCTTATTTTTATATTTTACCATAGAAACATGGATCCATCAATTTAATTCATATTTAATTATAATTTAAAAATATTATAATTATAATTATTTCATTTTTGTTTCTTATTTCGAGATCTAAACGTCATAAACCGATGGGTGACACAAAAGTAGTCAAATTATTTTGTCATGGGGGGGAGGCTGATTTTTTTTTTAGCATGAACTTTGATCATTTAAAACATCTTTTATAAGAGTACGTAACAGTGGTATTTGTTGTCTCCGTCTTACCAGTGCGTAATATAGCAAATTTACGCTCAGCAGAACACTTGATGGTAAGAACATTATCTGTGTTTATACGTTGGTTTTTTACGATAATTCAATTTTTAAGTGAGTTATGAACATTTTTAATGTACTGTATATTATATGCTCATAACTCACTTAAAAATTGAATTATCGTAAAAAAACCAACGTATAAATACAGATAATGTTCTTACCATCAAGTTTCATAATAGGTCGGTCGATTCACTGTAATTTTTAAGCTAAAGGAGCTACAAGTGTTCTTCTGAGCGTAAATTTGGTATATTACGCACTGGTAAGACGGATGAGACAACAAATACCACTGTTACGTACTCTTAAGATCTTAGTCTTTTAATATTTAAAAATGTGAAAATCAGATTTATGATTATAAAAAAGAATCATTATAAATATTGAAAAAATCTACCATTAAATAGTTGATATCGAAATTGATAGACGATATAGTTAATGATTATTTGTATCATTGTAAACAAATATGGAATAATAAATATTATAATTATAAACTATTATATTTTAATGTTCAAACTTCAAACAAATATTATATTGTAATAATAAGTTGAATATCTGCATGTGATTTATTATACTTCACACTAAGACACACAATATCATAATCAGCTTTTCCACTCAAACGCTTATATGTTTTAACTTTAATTTTATAAGTAATCTAAAAACTTAAGTAATATGTAGGAAATCGTAAAAAATTCAAAATATAAATCATTCATGATATTAATTTTAAATTTTAAATTTATCTTTTATTTAAGAACTATCATATTAAACAATAAAATTATGCTTGTCTAAGTTATTGCAGATTTATCTTGACACATATCTAATGAGTATTTGGTATTTAAAAATATACAACATGTCCTGAATAAAATGTTTGTGTTTAATTTTTCTATAATAAGTCATTTAAAATTAACCACACATATACGTTAAATTAAAATAATATTATTGTACTATGAAATGTTAATTTTAGTATCAGATCCTTGCTTTATTATTTTTTTGAAAGCTAAACATATACGATATCCGTGTAATATATAATTTTGATCATCGCTACCTAACTACTTTGTAAAAAAATGTGTAGGCCCTAGGCACTTCAATGCCTATTCAGAGTAGTAGAGTGTACGACATTATACGTATAATATAATACTATATCTAATATTATAGAGTATAATATCTCGGTCCAAGAAGAGGTCACGTTCTACTTTTGTACAATTAAAATAAATCCAATTTTTATTCTTTTGTACTAAAATATTATACCTGGTATAAAACTATAAAATAATTTTATTTTTCAGTATATTATATATACCTATACACTATACACGTTGTATTTTGAATAGGTAACCAATCCGTAGTACCTATATACCTATTGTTTTTAATATATTTTACTTTTGATCAATAAATAGTTAATTGATATTATTAATGACAATAATATACGTATAGATTATTAATGAATAATTAATCGTAAAACGTCAACACGATTCTACCA